AGTCACTGTAATGAGTGTTTGATAACTGGATGACATTCTGCAGCTGCTGCTGTACTTTTGTCATCCCAGTGTGGTTTTCTTAGACAGCAAAGCCATTCCCCATACTCCAACAACAATGTGGACCTTACTGATTTTTTGGCCCTTATTCAGTATGTGTGAGATATGATGAAATGAAAAGTGTGCATTATGACAGTCTTTCTGTAAATGATGAACTTTGGGTGTGGGTTAATGCAACTTAGATGGCTGTTTCACTCACGATTAAAAATTTTGCTTAATTCAAGTTTAATGATAGAGCATGTATAACATGCCACAGGTAGACACACAGAATACTATATGTTATACGTATTATTTTTGAGTGCTAATTTGTTCTGTATTGCATGTTTTATATATGCTGCAACAATAAAAGCTGCAGCTAATATCCTTCAAGAGCAACAGCATATTTGCCCCCTAAATATCTTAAAATGTTGAGAAATTTTTCTGATGTTAGTTTATATTTATTGTTAGTTTCTGACTTGTATTGCTTCTAGAGTATATAGTGGGTTATTTTCAGGTAGTAAACTTGTAATGGCTTTTTCCTTTTCATGTCAGACATTGTCCACTCTGAAGTTCCTTATATTAGCTCAAAAAAAGTTTTAATATCTCGTTTAAATTTAAGTCAATCACTGCTGACTTGCTGATCATCTATAAGTAACGGTAAGATTGATTCGTTAATTGAGGAAGTGACCCTGTTATGAAATGTCCAAATTAGTATTTTCCAAAATACATTTTTTATTCACCAAATGAATTTGTTCATTCTTTAATACATAAAAATTTACTTCACTTCCAGTTATTGCATCTATTTGAAAAGGAATATGAAAATTATTGTCTGCTAATTGCAAATGCTGAGGGATCGATAGATTTCGAGGTATCAAGTTTTGTCACTGGGATATACACTGGTGTGCAAAAATTAAGGACGAAGTCGAAAAATTAGCATATCAGCTGAACGAAGAGGCAGAGCGAACAGAAAGACCAATTAGGAGATTAAGTAAGGTGATGTACGGTAGCACATGCGCAGATATGCAGGTAGACGTAATGGGGGGAGTGTCTGAGTAGTATAAAGCATGTTGTCGGTGTAAGATCAGTATTTCTGGCAAAGAGATTTCACGCCGTATAGCAGTTAAAATCACACCGAGTTGCTGCCTCAGCAAGAAATAGCGAATAATCAATCTGTTAGACGACATCTGGATGCTTTTCCCTGAGGTCGAATCATTGGGAAGTTGGAGGAAGGCCGCAGTGTGACAAGTGTGGCTGCAGAGTTCGGAATTGCTCACAGCATCGTTTCACGACTTTGGAGACAATTTCAAACTACAGTTACAGCTATCCAGGGGTTTAGTAGTGGTCGTCCACGAGGAACCACACCCGCAGATGACCGGTATATTGCCTTACAGGCCAGAAGAAACAGGCGGCAGACAGCGGGAGAAATCGCTAGACAGGCGACTGGACGACCGATATCGCGTTTTACCGTGGCCAGAAGACTGCACGGTGGTGGTCTGTTTGCACGACGCCCAGTACGATGTGTACCTCTGACGCCTGCCCATCGGAGAAGGCGTTCTCTGTGGTGCCGGGAACACCGGAATTGGAGAGACAATGAATGGGGACGAGTACTCTTTACAGATGAGAGCAGATTCAGTCTGAGTAGCGATTCTCATCGCATACTCATCTGGAGAGAGCGGGAAAGCCGCAATCATCCCTCGAACATCATTGAAAGGGACAGGTATGGAGGTGGCGGTGTTCTCGTTTGGGGAGGCATCATGCTTGGTAGTCGTACAGACCTTCACCTCTTCGACGCAGGTTCAGTCAACGGGACCCGTTATTGTAACGAGATTCTTCTTCCATATGTGCGTCTTTTTAGAGGCGCTATGGGTCCGCAGTTCCTTTTCATGGACGACAATGCACCATGTCATCGCACAGTAGCTGCCAAACAGCTCTTAGAGAGTGAAGATATTGAGCGTATGGATTGGCCGGCACGATCTCCGGATCTCAATCCCATCGAGCATGTATGGGATTTTCTAGGCAGACGTTTGGCAGCTCGTACCTTACCACCAGTAACGATTTCGGAGCTTCGACTGGCGCTGCAAGACGAATGGGCAGCAATGCCTCAACAACTCATTGACACCCCTCATTCTCAGCATGGGCAGACGCTGTGAAACCTGCCTAGCAGTCAGGGAAGATCATATCCCCTATTAAAGACCGGATGTTTCTTGCTGGACACCCATCACAGGGATGTTTCGGCCTTCAGTCGCATTGCGCTCCATGCTACTTTTTCAATAAAGCTTTTTATCCCTCTGATTTCTCTTTTAGTAAGTGTTGCTTACATTACTCATGTCCTTACATATTGGGGATCTTACGGTATTAAATGTGTTGATTTGGAAAGCTTTTGTACATATTGAAAAAACCGTCTCGTCCTTAATTTTTGCACACCAGTAATTTGTAAATTTAGGGAGCAGTAAAAAGTCCACTTCATAAATATGTCTAACATTCATTTGCCGTCTCAGGATTGAAGATATATTTCACCTGCTGCTAAGAAACAATGGTTCCAGTAACAATTCCATTAAATGGTTTTAATTTTTATTTTTCTTCAAATTTATCATTAAAATTGCTGTGATTTAATCAAAATCATAACAGTATTTACCAATAATATATCCCCCCCTGGTTGCCAAGAGAAAAGAGCAGGGTTAATTTTTACCCCCTTGAAGAATTACTTAAAAAATCTGATTTTATTTGCTGATCATGTATTTCAAGTAGAAGTTTCTTATCGTAATTGATATTTGAATTGAAAAGTTATAAAATTGCCCACATGTGTTTTAAAATTATAATATATGTGCATTAAATTTTATAAAGCACAATAGTATTTTGTACACTGTGCAAAAAAAGGGGGAGACAGTTCTATATCTCCCGTTCTACTGGGCTGATTGATGAAATTCAACTTGCGTTTTTCATGTCTCGAAAGCGCAACTTAGTATTTATATTAGATTTATATATAGTGTTGTTCTGATATAAGTATTTTTACTCAAAAAATCGGACCTTTTCTGAAATAACATACCAATTTTTTCCCATATTTCAATTCTACGACTCAAATTATGCCAAACTGCCAAGCTTTGTAAAAAATCACACGAGTAGTTTTTAAAAAATTACCTCTCAAAATTTTATCCCTTGAATGTTGAGTTTCCTATATATTTATTAATCTCTCTTTTTTTTTTATTAAACTTTTTGATTCTTACTTTCACATTTCAAAATTCAGGTTCATTCTAAATAAAATTCACCCAGTTTTTATGATTTATTTTTAAAATTTTTATAAATTTTTCAGAAAAAAATTTGAATTATAATCTATAAAATTTTTACCATCATCATAAAGTATATCTAAGCATACTTGCAAAAAATGAATTTTTTATTCAAAATTTCCAAAGATATGTGTAGATTTATGTATTGGCGCATTTTGAAATTTGGCATATTTGTTGAAAGCGATAAACATCAAATGTGGTTTAAACAATTTGCTAAAATTATTTGAAATTGGGAACTATGTGATTTTTTTCTGCTTATGCACGATGTAATAAGGTAGGAATGAGGTGCCTTTTTCTCCCCACTCCGGCATTATGGAAGGGAAAGGAAAATTAGTTGCTATATAGTAAGAAGTTCGCCAATTGAATTATTCTTGGTGCAAACTGAAAATATTGTGGCAAGATTAATTTTTGAATTTCTCCATAAATTTTGCTTCAGATTTTACAAAATTTAATATCCAGGCATAATTTGAGTCGTAGAATTGAAATATGGAAAAAAATAGTATGTTTTTCAGAAAAAGTCTGATTTTATGTTAAAATATCTATGTTAGTACAATGCTATATATAAATGTAATATATGTCCTAAGTCATGCTTTCGAGACATAAAAAACGCTATTTGAATTTGTCAATCGTCCCAGTAGAACGGGCGATATAGAACTGTCCTTTTTGTTTTTTACACAGTGTACATGAATTTTTATTTTTTATGGTATTTAAAAGGCCATTGGTAAATAAAAGGTTTTCTTCGAATGAAAGTGTAAAATTGCAAGATGAAATTAGCAAAAGAGCATAAAACTTAGATTATCTAACTAAATATTAATGCATTTTATATCAGAATAATATGATAAATAGCACAATAACTAAATCATTCATGTAACATGAATATCAGTGGATTTGGCAATCTTTTGAAAAGGATTCCCCTCAAAGTGCAAAAAACTCCTAATTTTTCATGAATATACCAGTATCTCATAGTTCAAGGTTGGCAGATGTATTATTCTTTTGTGAAAGGTAGATGACATAACATTAGGAAAAATGAATTATGATAGAGTTCATTTTTTTAGTTAATCAGTAATGACGCTTTATTACTTCAAATTTAGATAAAATTTAGAAATGCAGACATGAGTGCATTAATTAAATTTTATATAATATGGTCTGTGTTGACTGATACACACACAAGAAATAATCTGATTTTAAAAATATGTCTTGACAAGACTGAAGGAAAAGGAAGCCTGAAAGTTAAAAAGTAGTTTACATCTAAAACATTCCGTCATTCGGAATGTAGGTAATGTTTTAATGTTTAGAGATAAACAGTGTAAGGGGTATAAGTTGAGTACTAATCAGATAATTTTAAATACTATTGTGTGGACAGGAGTAAATTTTGTGAGCCACTGTGATCAGACGTCTATCTTTAAGTTAATCAACCTTTATAATGATTAGATCATTTTCTAGGAGTACTAACTAATTGCCTCTTAATGTGATTCCAAAATACCTTGAACTGGTGGGCTTCATTACGCTATGAAAAGACTATGTGCAGATTTCTCCCTTCATTAAATAATATGATTAAACATCTTTTATGCTGGTAAATTGTTTTGATCTACCACAATACAATATTTACACTGGTGTTTCTTTCCTTCTAAGTATGAACCTTATTGTAAAACAAAGACATAATTTTTTCTTTTATTCTAGAGGCCAGTATTTAGCAGCACAAATGCAAGCTGCTAATCCAGATCTTGTGGAGCAGTTTAGACAGAACACATCTAGAAATTTTAACCCTCCAAATCAAGATAGCAAAGGTATTCTATAGACAAATGTTTGAAGAAAAATTATATTTTTAGTTCATATTTCATTTGAATGCTTGGACCTGTGTAATATATTAAATAAAACATTTCTATATTACTTATGCAAATGTTTAGAAATAGGTTGTGTACACATTATAAGCAGGCAGGATACAGTACAATTTTAATTCACATACAATTTTAATTTCCTTAATATATATTTCCCCGCTGATGGTTTGAATCTGGTAATTTTATCATCTAACTGAAGAGAGAAAATGTTCCATATATCTGTCTAATAATATAATAAGTAGTTTATTAATCTGCTTTATACTTTAAATGCTGCATCCGAAAGTCATTGTAATGATTTGGTCAGATTTAGAAAAATGAGATGATGGTTTAATCGGTGATAACTAGTGATTAAAGATCAAAGCCACCTATATACGAGGGCCATCCAGGAAGTAGATTACGTTTCCGTCTGTGTCCGCTAGGGGCGGGGCTAGCGCGGCCATCTTGGGGTCAGAGCGTTGCGCAGCTCAGTCTGCATCTAGCCGTGCTAGTGAGAGGTTCGTGCTGTGCTCCGTTCAGATACTGTGACGGTTTGAAATGTCTGCGTTAATTGAAAATCCCGCGAGCTGCGAGGTGCGCTCAGTAATAAGGTTTCTGACTGCAAAAAACTGTAAACCGATAGAAATCTATCGGCAGCTTCGTGAAGTGTATGGGGACAACATTATCACTGAAGGTGGAGTGCGTCAGTGGGTCATAAGATTTCAAAATGGCCGAACCAATGTTCACGACGAAGATCGAAGTGGGAGACCCAGCATAGTGACCGCCGAACTTCTCGAAAAAAGTCGATGCTAAAGTCCGTGAAAATCGAAATTTCACAATAACGGAACTTTCTTTGAGTTTTCCACAAATTTCGCGAAGTTTGTTGCACGAAATCATCAGCGAAAAGCTTGGTTACCACAAGTTTTGTGCAAGATGGATTCCAAAAATCTTGACAGAGGACCACAAAAATCAGCGAATGGCTGCAGCGTTGAACTTTTTGGACGCTTACCATAAGGATGGTGACTCTTTACTCGATCGCATCGTTACTGGTGACGAAACATGGGTGAAACATGTGAACTGTGAAACGAAATTGCAATCAATGCAGTGGGGGCACACAAGTTCTCCCCAAAAACCCAAGAAATGCATGCAAACAATGTCGGCAAGGAAGATGATGGCGACTGTTTTTTGGGACAGAAAAGGTGTAATTTTTGGTGGACTTCCTGGAAAGAGGCACTACAATAAACTCTCAAAGGTATTGCCAAACTCTCCAAAAACTCAGAAGAGCAATTCAAAACAAGCGCAGAGGAATGTTGAGCTCTAAGATCTTGTTGATTCACGACAACGCCCGGCCCCACACGGCAAATGTCACTCGTAAAGTTCTTGAATCTTTTAAGTGGGAGTTGTTTCCTCATCCGCCGTACAGTCCCGACCTGGCACCGAGCGACTTCCACCTATTCCCAGCAATGAAGAAGTGGCTGGCTATGCAGCGTTTTGATGACGACGCACAGCTGCAAGAAGAGGTAACGAAGTGGTTGAAGGCGCAGGCGGCCGAATTTTTCGACGAAGGAATTTCCAAGCTCGTACATCGCTACGATAAATGCCTTAATTTGTATGGTGACTATGTAGAAAAGTAGTATTTGAGTGTGGCTTTCATCTGTATATAATAAAATTTGTTTCCTATACTTTGTTTATTTTTTTATTCCAAAACGTAATCTACTTTCTGGATAGCCCTCGTATTTATGAACACATTTTGATGCTTTTCTAGTTATTCATTTGCTATTTGGTTACAGGGTCATGTGGTATTGTACAACTGCGTCACCCGGGAATACATTTTTTTAATGCAATACTGTGTTTATATGCTGATCCATCAAATGTTTGGATTGTGAAATTAAGCATTCCACTTTTCATATCAGCGAAATTATAGAACAGTAAAAGGCAAGCAATCAAAATTAAGAAGTCCCTGATAAAGTTTGGACATCTAATAAGATAATTTGCATATAAAACAGAATAAAATCATTTTATAATGTATCAATTCCAGTTAAAAAGCGCAAAGGTCTTCTACGAAGTTATAGTTATGTAATGCAGTCAAATCAGATTTCACATATTGTAGAGGGTGTGAAATTACAATCTGCCTTAATTCTTGTCAGCAGTTTTAAACAAAAATCGCTATTATAAGATGTGTATAATGTCAGCAAATATAGCATTTATGTACTGTGAAAATAGATCTCAGAGTTCCGAAAAATTCCGAAAGAATCTGAAGATAAATATATTCTAAATGCACTTCCACATGTCCGCAACACTCTGTTTTATAAAATGGCAGTTATTTCAGCCAGGTCTGTCTTCGTGCTCTACGTTCAGTTCTTTTTTTATAAAATGGAACTTATTTCAGTCAGTTCTCTCTTCATGTTGTGTGTTCAATCATCAATTCTTCATTCGACATAAGTAGCCCACCAGTGGCCGAGCGGTAAAGTCGCTGAACACTGGTAGTTTGGTCTGAGGTTCGAATCCGCAAACAGGCTGGCTGCATGGGCGTTTTCGTGGTTTTTCCCATGCGGAACGTGTATACGAGCCAGTTTCCCTTAGAAAGTCCTCCACGAAGGCATCCCTCCCCTTAGACAGATAGCCCTCGAGGCTTTGCCATAATCACACACACACACATTTTGACATGAGTTAAAACTGGCACATTATATTAAATGTGTTTCTAGTATTTTGTGGTGCAATTATAATATGCTTCTGCACACTGGAGTTATTTTTGAGCAAGGCTGGCACTAGGATGTTAAGCACCTGCTTTCAAAAAATAAATAAATAAATAAATAAAGTTTCCCTTCAAGCTGTTTTTATTTTCATTTTCTCTCACTGTTCAAATAGTTTACAATTGGGCAAAGCAACCTTTGGTTTGGGCATAGATTTTAACCTTGTGTTCATGACCCTTGATATATGTGGGATTTAAACCCTTGTGTAATTTTCGGATTTCCATAGATTTAAACACAAGGCTGTTGCTTTGCCTAATTCTGTGTTTTACTTTGGCAATTATTATTTTATTTTTATTTTAAAGGTATTAGATATTATTTTTGTGTTAAATACAATTTCTAGCATTAAATGTTTTTCTGTTTTAATACTTGTTTATAGGTGAGTAATTGCTAATAAAAATTCATGTAGTGTTTTACTGTCAGAAAAGCCTTAGTTGGTACCTAATTGTGGGCAGTGGTCATCCACTTTTGCCAGCCCTGCTTTTAATATTATGGAGTTGGTGAAAGAGGCATTGTTTGCTATAGGTTTCTTTTACTGTGTTATGACAGTCTTTCTTCATAGCCTGTTTGTCAGATGTTTGCTAAATTTTGGAATCTATAGCAACCAATGTATTCAACTAATACATCTATGCAGCAATAATAATATACTGTTATTAATGTTCTCCCCTTTTTTCCTTGGATATCCATGATTCCTAAAATTAAATGCAATATACTAATGGTTCTGAAATTTTTTTACGAGTACATCATATCTATTCATGAAGATGATCTAATGCAAGGGTTCTCAGCCTTTTTTGGTCCATGGATCCCTTTCATAACTGCAAAGGGCGCCGTTCACACTGGGGTTTATCTGAGCTAACGGATACAGCTGACTTAGCTGACCCATGTCCAAAACCAATTTTTGCCCATAGGGCAGCAAGTTGGAAAATCTGAACCGCAGGCATAGTGGAGCTAGTCGTCGACACATGGAACTGACTCCGTTGGCTGAGATAAACTCCAATGTGAATGGCCCTTTAGAAGTTCATTCTCCCCTCCTTTCCAAAACGTGAAAACTGCATATACATTTATTTAGATTATTTTTAGCACGTTTTATTAATTAAACAACAAAAAGTATAGGAAATGTCGATAAATACCAAAATTTGAGTAAAAGAGTTTTTTTTTTAAATATTCATAAATTAAAATACTGACTAGCTTAATAAGAGATAAACTGCATTTCTCTCTGAAACTATGAAATTTTTCCTCTGGGGGGAAGGAATTCCTGCCTGGTTGAGAGCATCTGGTCAAGTGTATCCTGAGCTAAAAATTTCTTGAAACCAAAGGTAATTTGTCCAATAATTACAAAGATTTTCCTAACTATCTGATGATCCATTGCAGTAATTTTTAATGTTTTATATAATAATATTTTGAAGGTGATAAAGCTGCTTAAAGAATCATAGGTTTTGTAAAACGTTATCTGTTACCCAGATTAATGTTAAAATATTATTACGAGTTTTAAAATAATTTCTCTAAAAGATAAGAATTTTTTTAATATTTTATTCATAAATTCATTCAAAAATAAAAGAAGAGAATAAGTGTAATATTTTCTAAATAAGTTTTTTAAAATCCTAGCTCTGAATTTGGGGTGTAATGTTATTTAACGTAATGATTAGCCGTTATTAAATATTTAATATTCTCAGTGAAAAGGTTATACATATATAGCTTAACACTTATTTCTGATACATAATTGTCCAAATAAAATTCCATGCAGAGATTTAGCTTCAAGTTTAGCCTATTTGTAATGCTCATTTGGTTAAGAAACAGTTGTGTGTTTAGGAAAGCATAAATTGTATACAGGGTTCATAGCCACATTTTAGTTAACAAAAATACGCACCTATAAGCACTTTTCAAGCACATTTTAAGGGAAAAAAATAAGCTCCTGTCTAATTACATTATAAAGAATTGCATAACCTTAAAAGAAATTTAATGATGAAATTTCAGTTCAAAATAGAGAAAATAAATAAGTCATATTTATTATATTTTCTTGGCATCTAAAAATAAATACAATACATTTTTTCACTCATATTAATATTTAAATAATTTAACTTAAATCAAAATTCTGAACATTTTCTAAATTTTCATTGTATAACAGTTTTCCCTTAACAGATATTGCAAGCAAAGTAATTTAAGTAAAAAAAGGTAAGTCTGTAATGTATAATGCATTGGGGGGGAATTTTATTTTGACTATTC